CAAACATGATTAAATTGTGCACTCAAAATATCCAGAATTTGACTGAGACAGTGCCTTTAAAGCAGCCATCCTGAGTTTTCAATAGGGAGGGTCCTGAACAGATCACAGGTTCTACTTAGGTGAGGCTTCTAGGTAAAAGGCACATAACAGCAGAAAAGTAACATTTTATTAAACTGGATGCTTACAAACACCCAGCAAAAAACAACTGGGGAAGTCGAGTCAGTCAGCTAGAGTTTCTAATAGATAGTCCTGAGCAGGGAAGAGTAACCCCCTAAGGTGAGGATTCCAACTAGAACAAACAGCAGAAGACAGAGATAACATTATCAAAATGGGTGCTTGCAACACCCAGCCTGGGAATACGGAGATCCACCAGTTACTGGTGGTGAGAAATTGAAGTCAAATTCAAGATTCAACAGAACCAGGAGACTCTAGGCTCTGCTGCAAAAGTGTGCCTTTACTGGCATTCTGTGAAGCTTTCTTTGTTCTGGAGAGCTCAGAGTTCAAAGGAGGGAAGAGAGAAACAATGAAAAGCATTCAGACTATTACTTATCACTAGATATGCTTGGGAGACAGAAGATCTCTTGGCTGCCTGAATAATGTCCTTGAGCACACTAAACTTTATAGATGAGAAGGGGAGGGGACACATTTTACCCTTGACACTCCTTGGCAGGTGGGAGGCATTCTCCTCCTGGGCATAAACAAAGTGCTATGGGTCCGAGTTGACCCAGCAGGGCAATATATGAAAGTCAGGTCACAGGGGAAAATGAGGCAGTTCTCAGGGCTGCACTCCTGGCTTCTTTTTCCCATGGCCGGCACTTTTATATTATGGAAACCTGTCACTGTTCTCAAAAGCATGATGATTTCACTCTTGGGCTGATTTCTTCTTTCCCTGTGAGAGTTTTTTCATGGGGGGTAGGGACATCCCAACCCTAGACCAGGCACTTTGGAGGATACGTTGAGACAAAAATACTTTGGGTCTTAAATGAGGGAAGTGGCAACTCTGCTTCCAGAGCCAACTTTTCGGTGACCTCAAACAACACATGATAGCTTTTCAATATAATGTCATTACAGAAGGCTTACCTAGTTTTCAGAATAGGGTTGCAGCAAGTACATCTCTATAGTCCTCAGAAGAGAGGGATTTCTTCTGAAGTTCATGACATGTAGTGAGACTCAGGACCAACCCCATTTCAAAACTGGCCAAGCTGGGACTGTAGCTTAGTTGGTACAATGCTTCCCAAGCCCCACATAAAAAAAGGCACGGTAGCCTAAACCATTATTGTCAGCCTCCGAGAGGCACAGACAGGAGCATCAGAAGTTTAAGGTCATACTTGATTACACAGTGAGTTCAAATTAAGCACAGAATACATGTGACCTTGTCCCTCCAAAAAGTCTATGTGACATTATTGTGAAGTGATGTGAAAAAATTGTCCCATGACCTTTGTCCAAAATAAATCATGTCTTCAGGGCTCACCTCCCATTAGACACAGAGAACAGACTATCTATGGGTCATGATATATTAAGAGACCCATCAAAATGCTTTCTCATTAATGTGTATTAAAATCAAAAGAAATAAAAGAGAATTCAACAATAATGAACATACAGTAATGCATCAAGCCTATTTTAACTTTGCCTATGTTAAAGCAGTGCAGCATGTACTTCACACCATCTTTGTGGAATATGGACTCTCAGTTGATAGGAGTAAGTCCTAGGGGAAATACAATTCTCTTTTAGCTTCCTCTTCTCTGTGTCCATTGGCATTTGCCCTGAACCAGTCCTTTCCCAAGCTCTATCTATTGTTCCCAGATGTATCTATTCCTTGACTTTCATTTTCCTATAACATCCCTATTTCTTTAGCTATATAATCTTACTAACTTGAAATATAGGAAATCATGAAATGGGGCTAGCAAGATATCTCAGTGTATAAAGAAGCTTATTATGTAAGCTCAACCACCTGAGTTCAATCCCTGGAAAGTGGAAGGACAGAGCTGACTCTATAAAGCAGTTCTTTGACTTCCACATGCATGTCTTGACACACAAATAATAATAATAATAATAATAATAATAATAATAATAATCACCATAATAATCATAATCATAAAGGTAATAACACTTTAGGAAGACAATAATGAAATCAGTTGATCTACAACCATAATTGTTGATGTGCTCCATTGCATTTAGCAAGACAGGGTCCGCTGAAGATTGTCTGGGTCCTCACATCCTGACTATCTTTATTTTGTCTATCAGAAGTGTGACTCATGAGCAAACAAGTGTTTCTTTTTCTCTTTCAGTGCGGTGGATCACCCTTTCTATCCATTTTTGGAAGAATATTGAGCATGAGCTGCTATTATGGAGCCTTTCCTCCTCCAGAAAAGGTTTATTTGGTTGAATGGTTAGAAGCAATATTCCTGCCTTTAGGTTCTTGTCTACTGTCACAAAACTATGATTCTCAAGTGAGGGCATTTGTTTTTCCTGATGATTAAAAATAACACACAAATTACAGAGAATTTACAAAAAAGGAAATAGTTGATGTAGCTTCCTTGATTTTTATGTAATTTCAAGTCTGTATTTTATTTGCAAAATTAAAATAAATTTCAACACGTGGACCATATGCTTTTAAAATACATTTTGGATGGCATATAAGTTAGTCATCAATCTCATTATTAGGGGAGGGCATTTAAGGTAGCCTCTCCTCTGTTGCTTAGATTGTTAGCTGGTGTCATCTTTGTAGATCTCCAGAAATTTCCACAGTGCATGATTTCTCTGTAAACCAAAAATGTCTTCCTCTATTATGGTATCTTCATTCTTGTTATCTTCTATTCTTCCCCTGACTCAACCTTTCTGCTCCCTCATGTTCTCTGCATCCCTCCTCTTCTCCCTTTCTCATTCTCTATAGCCTTCATCCAGCAGCTGGTGGAAGTAGAAGCAGATACCCACAACTAATCATTGAACTGAACTGGAACCCAGATGCAGAGAAGGACGAGTGAAGGGGTCCACACCAGGCTGATGAAATCCATAGAAACAGCTGATCTGAACATTGGGGAACTCTTGCTCCCCAGACTGATAGCTCGAATACCAGAATGGGCTGATCCAGACCCCAGGAATACGGGTTTCTGTGAGGAAACCTCAGAAATCTATGGGACCTCCTGTAGAAGTGCAGTACTTATCCCTAGCATAGGTGTGGACTTTGGGAGCCCATTCCATATAGAGGAATCCCCCCTGAGCCAAGACACAAGGGGGTGGGCCTAGGCCCTATCCCAAAGGATACGACCGACTCTGAAGACACCCTATGGAAAGCCTCACCATCCAGGGGAGCAGAAAGGATATGTGATAGATAGGGTTTTGGTGGGGGGTGGTGGTAGGGGAAGACGGGAGGGAGAAGGGAACTGGGATTGTCATGTAAAACAATCCTGTTTCTAATTCAAATAAAAAAAGTTGAAAAAAATACATTTTGTTCAATTTATTGAACATTATTCAAGAATTTTAGAACATGTTTCTGATTGTAAAGAAATGGATCTTATTAACTTATTTAATTTCTTAGTTATCAAAACAGGTTTGGTTAGTTTTACTAGTTGGCACTGGCATGCACTCTTCTTTTTCCTAGTGAAACTTTGTTGAATATCGTCCCTTCTCGGGCATTTTATAATAAATTAGGAAAAATTAGGCTAAGTTTATGTATACATATTTTGAGTATGAATGTCTACTTGAAGAAGTAGGCTGCTAATAAATTATAAAACCAGAAACATTCAGTGGGAAAAGGGGAGGGGTGGGCTGGAGCGGTCTCAGAGGTTAAGAGTGTGTACTGCATTTGTAATTTGGTTCCAGTACCCATGTTGACAGCTCACAACTGCTTGTAACTCTAGCTCCAGGACATCTGAGTCCCTCTTTTGCATTGGGGACTTGTATTCATGTGTACCAACCTGCCCCCCATAATTAAAAAGTAAAAATAACACTTAAAAAAAGAAATCAATAGGCATCTATCGGAAAACAATTTTGCCTGGTCTCTTACATTTTTTCTTTTAAATTTTACTCTTTGAGGCCTTATTTATTTTTGTTTTTCTGCTTTTGGTGTTTTCTTTGTTTTTTCTACTTATTTATTTTATTCTTTATATTTATTTTTTAAAAATCAGTTCTTTGAGAATTTTGTATGCATTGTGCTCATACTTACCCCCAGCTCTTCCCAGGTCCATCCCCCTTCCCCACCCTTTCAACTGTGTGGCCTAAAAAAACAACCAAATCAAACCAACCAACCAGCCAACCAAACAACAAACAAAAAACCCCCAAATCTCTCAAGATCAATTTGCGCTGCCAAAATTATCTTGGATATTTTGGTCTTCCATTGGTTAGCTTATAGAGGAATACACACTTAGAAGAAACTTTCATACCCTCTTCTAGCACTAACAATTGACATTTGTCCTATGCCTAAGGGTGGGACCATATAACTACCTGCTAGAATTTCTTATGTTGTTTTATATGGGGTAATCAGAGGGGCTGACTGTCCTTCATTCTACATTTATTCAAGAAGTTTGTATAGTGAACAATCTTGCCATGTGGAGACGGTAGCTCCCTCCAAGGAAGTATGAAGCATATCTCTCCTTGTGAAAGAGGTAGCCGTGCTTACTGCCCATTGCAAATAATCTGGGCTCCTAATACTCAATGTTTTTCTCTTCTTACTCAACCTGCTGAATGTTCATGTGCCATTGGATTGTTTCACTACATGTTCTGGGAGCTAGAAGTGCAGGAACCAACTCAAAAGTGACCTTACTTTGGCCACAGATATTGTCATGAGCAACAAACTTTCAGTTCCTATCACTATGCACAAAACATATCGAGCTAGTTTATTAGTTTGCAGGTAAGATCAAAATCTCAGACCTAAAAATGATGAACATTGTTTACTAAAACACTCATGGCAAATAAGGAAGGACACAGAGGTCATGAGGGATCAGAAAGGTTGAGTCAGGTGAAGAATAGAAGAAAGGGTATGTGATGGGTAGGGTTTTAGTTGGGGGGGTGGTAGGGGAGGATGGGAGGGAGAAGGGAACTGGGATTGTCATGTAAATCAATCTTGTTTCTAATTCAAATAAAAAATGATAAAAAATCTCAGACTTTCCATAGTCTTGACAGTTATTTGGAGAAATTCAAGAGTGGGAAGAATGGATAGTTGTGGTGAAGTGGAAGTATTGGGTGCTATTCTTTCCTTCCTTCTTTCCTTCCTTCCTTCCTTCCTTCCTTCCTTCCTTCCTTCCCTCCTTCCTTCCTTCTTTTTCATTTTGAAACAGGTTCACACTACAAAGCCTTGGCTGTTCTAGAACGCGCTATATAGACCATGCTGGCCTCAAACTCTCAGAGATCTGTCTGCCTTTGCTTCCTGAGTACTGGGTTAAAGGTGTGAGCAACTATGCCTGGCTCTATTTTCTTGCTTTTAACACAACATTTTATTAATTATTTGGGAATATCACAATGAATATATATTGTGATCATATTGAACTCCTCTACTTCCCCTAACTTCTCCTAGATCCACTGCAATCCCTACCAACTTGATGTATTCCTTTTTATTTTTAATTAAAAAATGTTGGAACCCACTGAGTTCAGTTTGTGCTGCCCACATACTCAGCATGATTCACTTATCAGGTGCCACACACTTAATGAAAATGGACTTTCTCTCCCTAAACAGCCACCAGCTATCAATAGCTCCTTAGCTAAGGGTAGGTGGTATTTTCAATAGGTTGAGCAACAATGATGTTATTGCAACCTGACTAGTAGTAGTGATTATCTTCAACAGACCATACATAGTGAATCCTTAAGCTTTCATCTCACACATCAAGTTGGAAACCACTTCTATGTTTATTTATTTATTTATTTATTTAATTTTTTCATTTTAAATACCAACCCTAGTCCCCCTCCCTCCTCTCTTCCTGCCCTCCACCTCCCCCTATTTTACCCTCCCCCCCACCCTTGATCCATTCTTCAGAAGGCATACGGCCTTCCTTGGGGAATCAACAAGTTGAGGCTGGACCAATCTCCTCCCTGTTGCATCACAGCTGAGAGTCTGTGAGCTCCCACTAACTCTAGACAGTTGTTTCTTTGTTTTCCCCTTGATGATCTTGACCCCGCTTGCTCATAGGATTCTTCATCTTTTCAACCAAAGTCCAGGAGCTCAGTTTAGTACTTGGCTGTCAACATCCTTAGTCATCAGGAATGGCCAAGATAAAAAATACTGATGACAGCTTATGTTGGAGAGGATGCAGAGTAAGGGGAATACTCCTCCACTGCTGGTGGGAGTGCAAACTTATACAGCCACTTTGGAAACCAGTGTGGTGGTTTCTCAGAAAATTGGGAATCAGTCTACCTCAAGAGCCAGCAATACCACTCTTGGGCATATACTCAATAGATGCTCAATCATAGCACAATGTCACTTGCTCAACTATGTTCATAGCAGCATTATTTGTAATCGCCAGAACCTGGAAACACCAGTGTGGTGGTTTCTCAGAAAATTGGGAATCAGTCTACCTCAAGAGCCAGCAATACCACTCTTGGGCATATACTCAATAGATGCTCAATCATAGCACAATGTCACTTGCTCAACTATGTTCATAGCAGCATTATTTGTAATCGCCAGAACCTGGAAACAACCTAGATGCCCTTCAACTGAAGAATGGATAAAGAAAATGTGGTACCAAGAGGTAAAAAACAATGACATCGTGAAATTTGTAGGCAAATAGGTACTAGAAAAAAAAACATCCTGAGTGAGGTAACTCAGACCCAGAAAGACAAACACAGTATGTACTCACTCATATGGATATTAGATGCAAAGAAAAGCATAACCAGGCAACAATCCACAACCACAGAGAATCTAGGTAAAAAGGAGGACCCTAAGGGGGACATGCAAGGAAGGTCCCAGAAAGGGAAATTAGTTAAGGTCTTTTGGATGAACTTGGAGGGGGCATGCTTGAATTTCCCTCTATACATGTATTATTTTTAGATGGAGCAGTCTTAGCTGTGTGTCTTTTCATGTATTTCCTGGACAATGTAACTGCTACTATAGCAAGAAGTCCTGCCATCCTACACCGCCCAGGAGAGGGGTGGCTGTACCAGTATCAACTCTGAGGACTTCCACTTAGTTGCATGTGTCATCATCTTGAAGAGAAGGCTAGTTACTAGGAAGATCCTTACATTGAATAGAAGAGATATCCTTCCTAACTGCTATGCAAACTCAGCATAGAATATAGAAAATATAGAAAAACACAAGCAATAGGAATAGGAAACAATTACCAAAGTGAAGTGACAGCCTATGAAATACAAGGGAATCCTTGCCAGCTATTCGTTTTCCAAAGTATGAGAATCCAGAGCATTTGAGGGACTGAAAATCAAAATAACAGGCCATTTAACCATAAATGAAAAAGGCAAACAGCTCTAGAATGACAAATAAAGAATATAACAATGTTCACTGTTTAAAGCAATCAAGGAAATGCAAATCAAAGCTAGAGATTCTGTCTTACACCAACCAGATGGCTGAAATCAAGGAAACAAAGACCAACAAATGCTGTTGAAGGGAAATGGTGGGGGCCCTTCTAGAGTGCTGATGAGAATGTCAGTTACTTCAGCCAGAATGGAAATCAGTATGAATAGCTTCAGAAAACTAAAAAAAAGAAAACAAAAAACAAAAAAAACCCTCCTTTTGGTCTAGCTGTGTTGTAACTGAGTGTATATCTAAAAGAATCAAAGTCAGTATAATAAAAATATCTATACACCTGTGCTTTTCTTTTGGTTTTTTGTTTTTTTGTTTTTTTTTGAGACAGAATTTCTCTGTGGCTTTGGAGTCCTGGAACTAGTTCTTGTAGATGAGGCTGGTCTCAAACTCACAGAGATCTGCCTGCCTCTGCCTCTCTGCCTCCTGAATGTTAGGACTAAAGGAACTAAAGGCGTACCACCACCACCTGGCTTCACACCTGTGCTTTTTAAAGGTACTTTTCACAATGGCCAATATATAGAATCAGTCTAGGGCCAATCAGTAGAAATGGAGTTTGATTTTGACATAAGGAAGAACAAATCATCTTATTTTCACCAAAATGGATGAAGCTAGGTGAAAATTAGCTTGTTAAACATAAAAATTCTAACTTAGAAAGGCAAATAGCTTATGTGTTCCACAAAAATAGTGCCTAGTCTTTGAAAAAGACATAAAAGTAGAAGAGGGAATATTTAGGGAGCCACAGAGGGAACAAAAGGGAGTATGGGATAGGCAAGTATAACCAAGATACCATGTGTCTGTGTGGAAAAGTCGCAATGAGAATCCTACTGTTTAGAAAGCAAAGAAGAATAGATACCATTTTCAAGTGAAAACAAGAGCCCATCAGCAGAAATTACTTTCTAGGTAACATATGATCAATCAGTTACTATCCACTAGTTTCCTTTTTAACAATTTAAAAAAGTAAATGTGGACTTTGAATAGAACCTTTTCTTCTATAAGAAATTCATAGTTTCATTTTCACCCTTTAATAATTTATTGGCGTTCACTTTCATACAAATGCAAGCTCTCTTCTCTGTGGACTATTGCTTTAAGTGGCTCCTCCCACATGTCACTGTTTAACTCTCCACTAGAATTTAAGGAGCTGTCACATTTTGCTGGTCTGTTCCCTGTGCAATCAGAAGACTCAAGGACTGCTTAGTTGCATGAGTAACTAGCTATGAATTCTGTGTCTCTGAGTGTGGCACTAAATGATGGTCACTTCATCCCTGTACTGGGGTTTGGAACCACTGTGCCTGATAAGGTAATCCTTGTGTCTTGGGTATAAGGGTTTATAAAAACAACATCAAGGATGTGTGGCAACTGAAGGGGACTTTCAGATTTGCTCCTGTTTGACTGAGAGTCACAGAATCTCCAGATTAGAGCTATCCACATGTAATAGAGAAGGCAGTCTTGTTATTGTTCCGTGGGGACTTACCATGTGGACAGTACTGTTTATTCTGAGCTCTATTTATGCTTTAGTTTCAGCCTGTTTGGCAGCAAGTGGAGAGCAGCTATCAGTGCTACTGTTGTGTTTGATTGAAAAGGGATTAGTGACTTGGATTATTTCTTTTTAATGTGGTAGCATTGTTGTTTAATTGCTTAGATTCTATTAAAAATATAAAACATTTCTAAACATGTACAGAACAAGGTAGGAAAGGGGAACGTGAGAAATAAGTTCAGTGTTTAGTGCACATGATGCTTTTTAGTGTGTTCGACATGGATTATTTCTGATTCTAGTAATTACTACTTTCTGGTAGATATGATTCAGATAAAATATTCTTGGTGGAATTTACTAGAGAAGCGGTTTATCAAAAACAATGAGCTTATTATTGTGTTCTGCTGAGGAGCAGGAGTTGAGTGCCACAGCACAAATTCCAGACGTGTGATAAAATAAGTTTTGCTTTCCACTTTAGCTATAGAAACATTTACCCAAGAAGAAAATACAACATTTTACTGGTGTACTGTACTTTAACAAAGCGACTCTAAATTCTTACTCCATGTTCCTATTCATGGCATTTGAATCAAAATACTGCAGGAGGTTCTCACGGGAATGTCTCCATTCTGATTTTATCCTATGGTTATTCAGAGAGTGGCAAGAACTAGCTTTTAAATCTTGAGTTGCAGTTTTCTCCTGCAGAAGACATAATCACAGAGATATCTTGACCTCTTTCGATAGGAACTTTACTTCATAGCATACATAGATTGAAAGAGAGGTAAGGAACAAATATATTACAACAGCAGCAGTCTCAGTAAACCTGCAGAGGTCAGTACAACTTAGAGAAGGACAGGGCTGGGTTTTTAAGAGAGTCCAAAGGGGCAAACCTGGAGCTGGAAGGATTGTTCAGTAGTTAAGAGCACTTGCTACTCTTGCAGAGGAATTGGTTTCAAGTCCTAGTACCTACACGGTGGCTTACAATGTCTGTAACCCCAGTTCCAGGGCATCCATCATCCTCTTCTTGCCTCTGCTGGCACCAGACAAGTGATACATAGACATACATGCAGACAAAGCATGAGATGAAAAAAATTTAAATGAAAAACTGTCAAAGAACATTATAATATTTTAGGAAGATTGACTACCTCAGGGAAAACAATTCCTGGAAAAATGTGTGGGGTCTTTGACGACTTGAGTTTGATTGGTCCCTGGAATCCACATGATGGAAGGAAAGAAATGACTCTCACAGGTGTTCCTCAGACCTCCAGATGTACCTCTCTCTCTCTCTCTCTCTCTCTCTCTCTCTCTCTCTCTCTCTCTCTGTGTGTGTGTGTGTGCACAAATAATAAAAAAAATTAGAAAAGTTTTATAACTCATCTTAATTCTTATTATCTTTGTTGGTAAGATGAATCAGATCCATGTATCATGAAAAAAACTCATTTTGATTATATTCTTCACAAATCATTTTTTCTTAAAATTATGGAACATACATGTAAATTATGCATATAGAATAATATCTAAAATACACAGTTTTTTTAATCTTACTTTTAAATGAAAAAAAAGGTGAAGTTAAAGGTGCCAGCTGCCACGTTGAACACAAGGATACTATAAACCCTTTTATATAGTAGAGATGTTGTGTTTTATTCCTAAGAATATTTTCTCTCACAGTAGGACCAAAACAAATATTTATGTAAATAGATATTTCTAGGTGACATTTGGGGGTTCATGTAACTGTTTTAGTAACTCATAGCATTGTTATTTCCTTTTATTTGTATTAAATACAACATTTTGAGTTCCATGGACATTTAAATTAATGTCATCATTGTTGGTATTTTTGAAGGGTTTATTTTAATTTCATTGTGTGTGTGTGTGTGTGTGTGTGTGTGTGTGTGTGTGTGTGTATGTATGCATACCTTGGGCTATGGGAAGGAGGCCTTGAGGCCCAAAGGTGTGGTATTCCATGGAACTGGAGTTATAGACAGTTGTGAGCCACTTGATGGGGGTAAAGGGAAATCAGAATCATGTGTTAATAAGACATAGCATCATTTCTGGGAATTGTACAAATGCATGTGCAGGTCAAATTCATATTTGACATAGCATCGGTCTATTTAGCTATTTCTGTTTTGCTAAGCTGTGCAAATTCATTAAGTAAAAAAAAATAGTGGTCAAGTTCTAACATTGCTCACTTTTTAGACTTCATTAATGATCTAATGCAAAAGATAAATTGGAAATGACTGTTAACTCGACTTCATCATGAAACCAATGATGAAAATGTACTTTGATGCATTGTCATTCAGCAAAACAAGAATTTTTTAAAGTTCCTGTTTATGCAAGTCATTCATGAAATAGGTTTCAATGGACTGTGAAAGCAAAATATTGAATGCTGTTCTCTCTCCTGTATTTTTGTTCTGGTCCTGAGTCAATAGACAGAGAACTGTGGTAACCATCTGTAGTAGCCCCACATTGTGACACCAATCTGTATTAACCCATCTTTGTGCCGCACATTGAGGGGCTTTCTGTAGTAACCCTATTTTGGGAGGCTTCAGTTGGATCCAGCCAACTTGCCTGGTGGGAGAGTGTGGATAGAGAAACTGCAAGGAAAAGACACAGACACAGAATACAGTTGTGAGGGCAATCCAGTGAAAACTGAATGCCCCAAGTTGATTCTTCAACATTCTTATATACCTCAACCAAAAAGGGTAAGACTGCTTAATCATGATACAAGGAATAAAATACTTTCTTCCTTAATTCTCTAAACACTTAGTAACTATACCTTATACTAAATCTCATGTTATCTGGCCTTGAGGGTTAAGAGTAACCACACCGTAAAAAGTCTCTTGTTATTTAGATAAGACATCCATGCCTAGATCAAACATCCTACAGTAGGCATGCCTTCGACATTTAGGTCTTATCACTTTAACTTTGGAACAGTAAGAATAGTTTTGAACTCTGACCTTAAGCCAAGATGAAGTGAAGCCATTTTTATTGACCCTGACAATTCCTCCTTCTAAATTTAGTTAATTAATACCTGTGTTTCTGCCACAGGACAGACGACTGTGTCTGTCTTAGGTTGTCTTCTTTCACCTTCCAGCCTTATCCATCATTGGAGCACAGATTCCATTATGTGTGACCTGTCTTAGGTCACCTGGAGGCAAAAAGATCTTACCTGTATTTGAATACCAGCCTCTGCAATAAAAAAGTTAGGGGATAGTGGGTAGCTTGATGCCATGTGCCTCTGAGCCAACTTTTTAGTTCACAAGCAAGCTCGATAATGTTAAGCAATACCTATGCTTTTATGGCTACAGTATGTCTTATAAAAGTAAAAGAAATAGAGTTAAAAATACACAAAGATTCTAGATACTGTATATTATTGTGTTGTCTTTGAATTGTTTGATTGTTGAGGAAGGAACAACAGCTGCTAAAGAACATTTAATTATAAATACAGCTGGACTAGTCCAACCTGTATATTTTGAAAATGCCTTGACTTCAAAATTTAAGTCTAAGGATTTGTTACTTTGGAAAAGAAGTTCTGCTTTTATTTCCACAGAAGATGAAAAACTGTGGATGGTTTGATCAAGCGAGACCCCCTGAAGCAGTGGCCCAGGTGATTCAACATCCTAAACAGCTGAGACCATGCAGCATCACAGACCACTGCAACCAGGATTTGGATAGGGTTCTGATTTTTTTGAGGATCCCCTTTGGATTGATAGTACCCCCAAACAGCAGGATGTGGTTTGGAGAGACCTTTGCCCACATTCCCAAATATTGTTTATAAATGTTTGTTTTTATTTAAAGGGGAATGGTTTTAACCCATTCTTGTTTGAGATGCCTAGAAAATATGTGGGAAAATAAACAATGTCTCCAAGGCATAGACAAGTCAGGACTTAGAAAGAGTTTATTGGTATTTTAACACAATATATCTGAATATTAAACGAGTGCTATCTTATTATGGTAAACACTGCACATTGCTAACTGTACTGGAATTCTTGATTCTCAGCTGGCAAGAGGCTACAACCAGACACCAGGGCAAGTGGTTCTATTTCCTTCCTGTATCCCATCCTTATGAGTTTTCCTGTCTTTCTGTACTGTCTCAATTATGCCTGTGAGTATTTTGATGAAATCATTGAATTGGGAGGTATTTTACAGGATTTCTAGTACCAGTGATGCAGTGATTGTTCTGGACTGAGCACATTTGCGAGACACCCACCTGTGGAGCTGATTGAAAGAGATCCAGGAAAATTTGAATGGGTTAATCATTACATATACAGAGCATCTCCATGCAGGGGAAGTTGATTCCCTGGCAAGCCATTGTTTGTGTTTTAAATGGGTTTCATTACACAAATACAATTTTTTTTTTGGTTGCTCCTTTAGGTTCCTAAGGATAAACTTATCAAGGCTATCAAAATAGCTATAGATGCTGGGTTCCGCCATTTTGATTCTGCTTATTCGTACCAAATAGAAGAAGAAGTTGGACAGGCCATTAGAAGCAAGATTGCAGATGGTACTGTGAAGAGAAAAGATATATTCTATACTTCAAAGGTATTTTGTACATGGGATGCTTGTGGGCATATTTAATGTGGTTGAACTGAGCAGACAATACACATTTGGATCAATCCCTGTTTCATGCATCATTACTTATTGTTATAACTTTTAGTCACACACATTCATATTAAAGCTAAGATAAAAATAGATAAATATGTCTTTGTTATTGCCATGGAGTTAAAATTTATGACTTTCATGTAAATATACTGTTTTGAATCTCAGGTCAAAGCAGTGTGGTTCATCACAAAATGTAGAATCAAACAGAGCTTGACTATGACTCAACAGTGACCATTGCTGAGGAACTGAAGTAGAATTTGAGACTTAACAGAACCAGGAGACTTTGGGTTATGCTACTCTGGGGTGCCTTTACTGGCATTCTGTGGAGCTTTTATTCCAGTTAACTCAGGGAGAGAAATAATGAAAAACAGAGCATTTCTTATTACCATCATCAATGTGCTCAGAAGACAGTATGTCATGGACAGATTGGGGCTGTTTGCATAATGCCCTTGAGCATACTAAGCTTCATGGTTGAGGAGGGGAAAAAGAGGAGGCATCTTGCCTGAGATATTTCTTGGGCAGGTAGAGTCTTTTGTCCCAGGGTAGTAAATAAAGTTCTTTGGGGACAGAGTCCACATAGAAGTCTATTATATGCAGGATATAGGGTCTTTAAGAACTGTAGCCCTAATGTTAAAGCAAATAGTTTATTTTGGAGCCATTTTGAGTAACTATAGCTTAGGAACACAGATTTGGGTTGCCACAAATTCTTTGTTTCAACATTGAAGCAGTTTCATGAAGTTTTATGTTTTTACAGAACAAAGAGTGTCACAAATCAATGTACATCTAAAATACATTGATGGGTATACCAGAGAGGCAGATACATTAAGATAAGGGGAATTTTGTATAGGCTTAATGTTCTACTAATGACATTCTTAGCTTTTGGATTGATGGAAGCTAGTAGTCTGATAAGTTAATATAGTCTGAATGGTTTTTAATCTATTAGTCACAAGATGTTCTGACACAGAGGTGAACAAGCAATGACTGTTCCAGAGGGCTAGCCTAAGATAAACCTCTGGACCTGCAGCATTCCAACCTCACCCCAGTACTGAAGTTCCAATCAGTCAGTTAGTCTGTAGACCCAGCTTCTTTTCAGGAGTTTTCGTTCATAAAGGGCACAGCTAAAGTTCATCCAGTTAAGTTCAGCACATACCAACACACCTCCAAAAGGGATTTCCTTCAGCCTTCAGTTATGTACATTGAATGAATAGTACTAGCTCTTCCTTTGTGGTTGACTGGATTAGTGATTTAGACCAATCCATGTATTAGTTTGTAAACTCAGCATTATTATTAGAGAAAACAACTCTTTCTCTTTAAGTATTCCATTCCATGTTCAGTAAATAAACTGATAATAACCAAATATATAATGATGTTTTACATAGCTCAGTGGCAGGGCATTGAACCATCACACAATGAAGTTTATATGTGAAAAAGCAATGAAGAGAAAGAAAAGCAGGGACTGTGCTTCTAACTGTAGAAAATTGTTTCCTTGTTAGATGAAATAATCCAACTAAAGTGGATGAACACTGAGTTTAAAGTCTCATTCTTTAACCCTGACAGCTTTGGGGCACTTTTCATCGACCAGAATTGGTTCGATCTTGCCTGGAAATATCATTGAAGAAAGCTCAATTGGACTATGTTGATCTGTATATTATTCATTTCCCTACGCCTTTGCAGGTGAGCAATCATTGTGTTCAAAATTATTTCACTTGTGATGCCCATATATAACCAACAGTAATATGGCAAATTAAGATTTATATTCTTTAGCCTGCTCTACAGAGTGAGTGCCAGGATAGGCTCCAAAGCTACACAGATAAACCCTGTCTTGAAAAAATCAAAACCAAAAACCAAAACCAAAAACAAACAACAACAACAAAAAGACTTAAATCCTTGAGTGAATATATGGATTATTCTGATGAAAATCCTAACCAATAATTCCCAAGTCTCAATTCATAGTTATTTTTCAAGCCTTGAAACACTGCTTCCTGTTTGTGAAAGAAAATAATTTTGTGGTTTTCTGCATTAGAAACTTGGTAAAAACACAATAACCAAGGCATAGTTCTGATTTTGGTCCCTGCGGCCTTTTTTTTTTTTTTTTTTTTTTTTTTTGTGTGTGTGTGTGTGTGTGTGTGCATTTGTTCATGTATGTGTAAGTGCACTTGTATGTGGTTGCACATGCATGTGTGTGTTTCTTAACACAAAAGACAGAAAACAGTCACTGGTGCTGTTCTTTATATGTCCTCCATAATTTGCTTGAGACAAGGCCTTCCACTGGCCCAGAAATCTGAATAGGCTAGATTGATCAGACAATTAGCCCCAGGAATCTACCTGTCTCCACCTTCCCAGGCCTAGGATTGCAAACATGTACCGGCTGCACCTGGCTTTAAATTCTTTTCTGTTTGTTGTTTTACATAAGTTCTGGAGGTCAAACTCAGGTCCTTAGGCTTTCAAGTATAATGCTTTACCTATTAGGCCATCTCCTCAGTTCCCCTTCATCTGTTGAAGGTGTTTGGATGCTGTTTTGGAGATTAGTAAGACTGCCATATATATGTTTCACAATGAGGTCACATTATCTCTCACAATTGCACTTTGAAAGCAGATCTGGTGGTACTCAGTCTGGGTGGGTGTCCTCGTTAGTTCTATCTGATATCTGACAACTTGACAGAGCCCAAGGCCATCTGAGGGGATCTCATTTGGGGCCTGAGGGAAGTGCCATCCCTCTGCAGGTGGTCCTGGCATATATAATAAAGCCAGTTAATGAATGAGGAAGGGAATGAACCTGTGAGCCACATTTCTTCATGTTTTCTGCTTCAGTTTCTGCTTGAATCACTGCCCTGACTTCCCTCAGTGATGGATTGTGATCTGGAAGTACAAGACTGATATCAAATAAACCCCTTCCTTCCCACTTGTTTTGGGTCCTGGTATTTATAATAGCAACAGAAAGCAAACTAGAACATCTGGTTCTCATACTACCAGCCCTTGGAGATCTGGTAACTGGACATTATTTCTCTTGATAGTTTCATGGTGGTGGTGTTTTGTAGATGGCATTTAGCCATTAATAACTGTGTTATGCAGAATTCTTGTGAATATTATGTGAAAAACTTAAGCTAGTTTAGGCAATGGAGGCTATCAAATTACATAACTGAGAAGTTCAAGCCATGACTACATTTAAAGGTATGAATAGCATTGGCTTCAGAAATATTTACTACATTCCTTATCTCTACATACTGTTTATTTAGGTTGGGGCTGACATTTGCTGTTGGTAGAAGATATGGTCTGTGATGATTGAAAATTCATGAATGGTAAACTTGAGAGCTACTCTGGCTTTCTCACCCACATTAATCCTGAAAAGAAAGTCCGTGTGATGGTCCAGTTTAATTATTCTTGCCCCTATACAATCATATATCCACTGTGATAAGGAATGTTTTATTCAAATCATAATCCATTATTGCCAGATATCAAATCCATATAATTGTTGGATTTACCAAAAAGACAGAGGCATTTTCCTATAGGGAAATATAGGGGCGGAAATGGTAACTGAAGCCATACAAGACACCATTAGGACTTTGGAGGAAAGCATTTTTTTAAGTATAAGGAAATATAAAAGATTAAGGAATACTAATCTTTAAACTTTAGTCCTTTGTGACCCCGAAGGCAAAGCAACTAAAATATTATCCTACTTACTTGCGAAGGCTTCATGGCCCAGACTCTGAAGGATTTGGCAGTCTAATCAAACGTGGTAAAGTGACTTCAGTGAAGTCTTTAAAATTCGTAATTCTATTCCAGCCTGGAGATGAGATTATACCAAAGGATGAACATGGAAATGTGTTGATAGACCCAGTGGATCTCTGTGACACATGGGAGGTAAGTCCTTTGAGGGAAGGACACAGAAGGGAATGTAAGAGGACCAATCAGGTATGATTTCCACCTATGAGAATGAATATACATGGCTCAATCTAGAAATTTGTTATCTTTCACAAGAGGGGGTTTTGATGGAATTATTGGAGGAATTCATTGCTGGAAAGTAATAGCAATGGAGAAGAACTGAGGGCAAGGGTTTAGGAATCTCTTTTCAACCAAATGTAATGTCACCTATTTTCTTTCTCTCTCTCCCTCCCTCCCTTTCCTCCCTCCCTCCCTTCCTCCCTCCCTCCCTTCCTCCCTTCCTCCCTTTCCTCCCTACCTCCCTCCCTCCCTTCACTAGACATTAATATCTTCCATGTGGGTGCCCTTGCATGTGTTTCATAGATGTTCAGAATTAAGACATCATCTTGGTGGCTTTTTCTTTCATGAGTATGAGATGTGCTCCATACCTTTCAAATTAATTTTGGTTTGAAGTCTATTTTGTTAGGTATAGGATAGCTACACTAGAGTACTTGTTAGGTCCATTTGATTGGAAAATCTTTTCCCAATCATTCACTCTGAGGAAATGTCTATCTTTGATGTTAAGGTATATTTCTTATATACATAAATATGGATTTTGTTTTTGTAGTCATTCTGTTAGCCTGTGTCTTTTTATTGGTGAATTGAGTCCATTGATATCAAGAGATATTAATGTCCAGTGATTGTTCCTATTATATATTGTTGTTGGTTGTGTGTGTGTGTGTGTGTGTGTGTGTGTGTGTGTGTGTTTGTGTCTGTCTGTCTGTCTGACTGTCTGTCTATCTGTTTCCCTTCTTTGGATTTTGTTGGTATGAGATTATCTATTGCCTGTGTTTATGTAGGTGTAGTTAACTTCCTTGGGTTGGAGTTCTCCTTCTAGTATATTCTGAAGGGCTGGATTTGTAGATAGATATTGTTTAAATTTGACTTTGTCATGAGATATCATGTTTTCTCCATCTATACTTACTAAAAGTTTTGCTGGTCTGGGACTGATCCAGACCCCAGGAACATGGGTTTCAGTGAGAAAATCTTGGAAATCTATGGGACCTCCTGTAGTAGTTCAGTACTCATCCCTAGCATAGGTTTGGACTTTGGGAGCCCATTCCACATAGAGGAATACTCCCTGAGCCAAGACACAGGGGGGTGGGCCTAGGCGCTATCTCATAGGATACGATAGACTCTGATGACACCCCATGGAAGGCCTCACCATCCAGGGGAGCAGAAAGGATATGTGATAGGTAGGGTTTTAGTTGGGGAGGGTAGTAGGGGAGAAGAGGGAGAGGGAACTGGGATTGTCATGCAAAACAATCTTGTTTCTAATTCAAATAAAAAAAATCTGCAAAAAAAAGTTTTGCTGGTCATATTAGTCTTTGACGGGGGAAGTCCTTCTGTGTATATGTTTATCTTATTGGTTGATAAATAAAACACTGTTGGCCAATAGTGAAGCAAGATAGGTGGGACCAGGTGAGAAGGAGGATTCTGGGAAGTGTAGTAAAGGGAGGTGTCGCCATGTGATTGCCAGCGCAGGAAGAGAGGATGCATACTGGTGTCCTTGAAAAGGTAAGTCCTTATAAAATATATAGATTAGTGGTTATGGTTGATAATTAATATTGAGCTAGCAAGTAAAGAAATCCCAGTTATTGTCCAGCAGCATTGTACCTAATATAAGTCTCTGTGTATGCCACTGGTGGCGGAACTTGGGCCACTGGTGGAAAGAGTTATCGCTACAAGTCTTAGCTGATATTAGTGGTTTCTTAGAGTCTACAAGACATCTATCTGTCCAGGACCTTCTGGATTTTAATGTCTCTGTTGAGAAGTTGGGTTTAATTTTTATAGGTCTGCCTTTATATGTTAAAACTTGGCCTTTTTCTATTGCAGTTTTTAATAATCTTTCTTTCATCTGTATATTTAGTGTTTTGATTATTATGTTACAAAGGGAATCACTTTTCTGATTCAATCTGTTTTGTGTTCTGTAAGCTTCTTGTACTTTTATAGGTACCTTCTTTAGGTTAGGGAAATTTTCTTCTATGGTTTTGCTAAATATATTTTTCTGGGTTTTTGGTCCAGGATTGTTCTTCCTTTATTCCTATTGTTCTTAGGTTTGTATTTTTCATGATATCCCACCCAGATTTTCTGTTAGGAGATTTTTTGTTGTTGTTTTTTATGCTCTACCATTATCTTTGATTGATGAATCTATTTCTTTTATTGCATTTTAAATGTCCGAGTTTCTCTTTTCTATCTATTGAATTCCATTGGTGATGCTTGCATCTGTATTTCCTTCATTTACTCTGATTTTCTGTTTCCTGAATTCCCTCAGTTTGTGTTTTCTTCTTTGCTTCTATTTAGATTTTTATGTCTTGAGTCTTGAAGAGTTTTCTCTACCTATTTGTTTGTTTCTTCTTAGCTTTCTCAGCATTCTTTAAGGGATTTGTTGATTTATTCTAATATTTTGGTTGTTGTATTTTCCTTGAGTTCTTAAGGGTGTTTTCCATCTCATTAAGAACCTCTATTATCATCAAGCTTTAAGCTTGTTTTCTTGTGCTTCTGCTATGTTGGAATATTCAGAGCATGCTGTAGTGGGATGCCTGGGCTCTTTTGGTGACATTTTGCGTTGTTGTTGTTGTTTGTATTCTTTTGTTTTGTTTTGTTTTTTCGAGACAGGGTTTCTCTGTGTAGCTTTGGAGCCTTTCCTGGCACTCACTCTGGAGACCAGACTGGCCTCAAACTCACAGACATCCATCTGCCTCTGCCTCCCGAGTGCTGGGATTAAAGGCGTGTGCCACCAACACCTGGCTTGTTGTTTGTATTCTTACACTTATTTTTAGGTATCTGGATTTGGAGTGATTATAGGTCTAGGTGCCAATTTCTGGATTCATCTTTGTTGGGTGGATGTTTCCTTCCTTAGTTTTTGTTTCCTCTCTGGTCTTCTGGATCCTGTGGCCTGTGGTTGAGTAGATGATCTTCACCTGTATTAGGGGTTGGACTTCTGATGTCCTGGATGCACTCTTGTCTAACAGGAGGTTGCTGCCCAAGTTTGAGGCTAATAATGTTCTGGTTTGGTAAGTGCATGGCTTCTGATCTGGATGAGGTCCTCTGGGGTTCAGATGCTGGCCTGGCTTCTGGTGGAGAAGGAGGCTTCTGCCAGGTTTTCACGGAGTAAGTCTGGTCTTTGGGGTTCAAGAAGCTGGTCTGGGCTCTGGGGATCAGGATTCTGGCCTGGCCTTTGATAGGGTAGAAGGCTTCCACTAGAGGTGTGGGCCGCAATACGGTGATAAAGAGAAGAGAGGTAGTTGGAGTTATGCTGGTCAAACACAGGTGGGGTGGGGGGCAGTATTACCTGGGGATCAGGTTGCTGGTCTGGCTTCTGGGGAGTGGAAGGCTGCAGCCAGAAGTATGGGCTAGGAAGTAGTGATGAGGAGAGGTGGAGTGGTTGGGGTTATGTTGGGTAGGCAGGTGTGGGGTCGAGGGTTTTACTTGGGGTCCATGTTGCTGGCCTGGCCTCTGGGAAGTGGAAGACTTCAGCCAGAGGTGTCAGCAGGGATCAGGTGGCAAGGAGAGGAAAGGAACTTGAGCTTATACTGGGTGGGGCAGGAGGGAGTTGGTTGGGGTAATGGCTTACTTGGTTTTCAGGATGCTGGCCTGGCCCTTCATGTCACCTATTTCTTAAGGACACAGGAATTGTTTCTTGCTTTCACTTCCTCTGCTCCTTATTTTCTCTACAAATTCTCCCTTTCCAGATAGTCAAACCCAACATTTCTTGAAAGCATTCCTTTTAACATCACTTCTTAGAGCACCTGCACAATTTATCCTTCACTATCTCTTCCATATCAGGCCATGGAGAAGTGTAAGGATGCAGGACTGGCCAAGTCCATTGGGGTGTCCAACTTTAACCGAAGACAGCTGGAGATGATCCTGAACAAACCAGGGCTCAAGTACAAGCCTGTGTGTAACCAGGTGAGCCCCTTCTACTCCTTGGCCTTTTATATCTACATTTGTTCTTCCTGTACCACTGACTCATATCTATTTGTTGCCTAGTCCTGTTCATTTTACCTTCATGGGGCAGAAATTTTAAAAGTGGAATCTCTCTGAGAGAATATAGAAGTCCCTTTATTACAGAAAGACAGTGGCACATTGGTGCTAGCTTAGGGTTAATTGGATATAAAAATAGATCAGGAAAATGCAATAAAAGGAGGCAGCAGTTATAGTGTGGCCATTGAGAAGAAGATGCACTTCTCCATCTATGAGTAACAATTGGATGAGGAAAGTTGCTGTGGAGGGAACTGTGAACAGAAAGAAAGATCCTAGAAAGAGTGTGGGCAGTAAAGAATGATGGAACCAAAGTAAAAGATCAATGGTACAAACATGAATGTTAGATGGTTGTGCCCTTGGTCCTGACACCTCTGATTTCCTATATATTAACCACAATCACAGCTACAGGGAAATTAACTGGGAGCTATCAAATTCATCTAGATTTGTGAGACATCCTACTTGATTATGACAAAATCATGATGGGAATTTGGGGCAGAGCACTTTGAGCTAACCTTTTGCCTGACCACACACATCACAGTCTACTCCTTTCTGCTTTCCGACAGCAAATCAACTGTTTACACATGCACACACACACACACACACACACACCACACGCAATATGTGGAAGTCAGAGAGATTATAGGAATTGGTTGGTTCTCTCTTTCCAATATGTGGGTCACAGGAATTGAAATCAGGTTAGTAGGCTTCACGTCAAGTGCCTTGACCTGCTAAGCCATTTCACCAACCCCCTTTAGTTTTCTTGCATGATACTTTGCTGTATTTTTTTACACATCAAGATAAAAGTCAATTTTATATGAGATAAGGTAAACATCAATAGTTTGCCTATGACTACCAGTGTTCTATCCGAACTGCCACAGTGAAAGCCAGCATGCACAAATGGATTTGCTTACTCTTTCTCTTTTCTCTCTGTATTCTGATGGACTTGTGGATCTCCTACCTTAATATAGATCCTATCAGACTGATTCTTTTGTCTTCACAATGCCATTATGAGCCTTTGGCCAAATTCTTGTTTCTACTGTGATTTAGTACCCACATTTACAATCATATTTTCCCCGTTCCAACTATAAAATCTGCCAAGGCTTCATGAGTTAGAAAAAATTATTTAGCATTAAAAAACTGGTCCATAGAATGATTTCTTCTCAAATATATATTAAAAAAGCTTTCTACAAGAAAGAAGAATTAAATTTATTGTGTCAAAGTGATTGTTACTTAGTGTTATTTTTTCACTTCAAATTTCACGTTATACTTTTTAAATTTTAAGTTTTCATTTTGACATCTCTCCCTTTTGCATTAATACAAAGCTTCATATAATCTGATTGTTTCCTATCAGGTAGAATGTCATGTTTATCTCAACCAGAGCAAAATGCTGGACTACTGTAAGTCAAAAGACATCGCTCTGGTTGCCTACTGTACACTGGGAAGTTCACGAGACCCATTATGGTAGGTAACAAAGACAACAGTGAATCTCAAATATCATTGTTGAAATATATTTAGTTCTATAATAACTTTCTAGATCTTACTCGCAACTGACTTAGAGGGGCTGGAATTTAAATTTATGAGAAGACCTGAGATGATATTGACTCTACTGGCCCAAGGAGAACAGTTGCATATCTATGGTTTGGAGTATATACCTGTTTTGTAAGCCTCCTATTAAGGCAATTTGAAGTTCTGGAGTTCAGAATTTTATCTTCCTTTCCAGGGTGGACCAAAATAGTCCAGTTCTCTTAGATGATCCAGTTATTTGTGCCATGGCAAAAAAGTACAAGCAAACATCAGCATTAGTTGCCCTTCGTTACCTGTTGCAACGTGGAATTGTAGTCCTGGCCAGGAGTTTCAATGAGAAGAGGATCAAAGAGTTCATGCAGGTGATGACAGAGTTGTTGGTCTTGAAGCACTGTGAAATATCCTGTCTTAGGGTTACTATTGCTGTAATGAAACATCATGACCCAAAACAACTTGTGGAGCAAAGTGTTTATTTGGCTTATGTTTCCATATCACAGCTCACTATCAAAGTAAGTTGGGACAGGAACTCAAATAGGACAGGGACCTGCAAGCAACAACTGATGCAGAGGCCATGAATGAACACTGCTTACTGGCTTGCTCCTCAGGTCTTGCTCAGCCTGCTTTCTTATGGAACCCAGGGGCACCATCCTAGGCATGGCATTACCCACAATGTGCTGGGCATGTCTCGTCAATCAATAATTAAGAAAATACATTACATCTGGATATTATGGAGGCATTTTCTCAGTTGAAGTTCCCTCCTTTCAGTTAACTCTAGCTTATGTCAAGTTGACACAAGACTAGCCAGGCACATATCCTTAACATGGGTTTTTAGTTACCTCTCGGAACATCTTTGTGCTTGTTAGCCTCTTTTTAAATATTGTGTGTGTGTGTGTGTGTGTGTGTGTGTGTGTGTGTGTGTGTGTGTGTGTGTGTGTGTATGTATTTGCCATGATGTGTATGTGGAGATCAGTTTGACAGCTTTTCAGGAGTTAACTTTTCTTTCCATCATGGATTTCAAAGATTGGATTCAGGTCTTCAGGCATGTGCAACAAGTGCTTTTACTTCCTGTACCACCTTGCTAGTCTGGATTGAGTTTTGAGTTTTCTCATTTGCATGATAGTAAGGCTTCTCTATTGATTGGGCTGTTGTAGTACTGTCTAAGCTCTCTTTCATTATAGTTTTCTTTTTATTCTTTCTTAACTAGCTTAGGATGCACTTCATTACTCACAGTTGTTGTGGGGGTGGAGTAGTCTAGAAATGTCTGCAATTTCCTTTCATCTGTATGGTCATTTAAAATCTCTCTCTCTCTCTCTCTCTCTCTCTCTCTCTCTCTCTCTCTCTCTCTCTCTCTCTCTCCTACACACACACAGGCTATGATATGTGTTTTGGATATCAGAGGACAACCTTGGGGTGTCAGTTCTCACTTTTCACCTTGTTTGGCAGAGTCCCTCTTATACATGGCTGACACTGGGTTTTCTGGATGCCCTCATTAGTTTTCTGTTGTTGGCTTAAAACCATGACTGAAAGCAACTGAGGGGGAGGAAAGAGTTTATGTGGTGGCTTATACTTCAACATCACAGTCCATCTTACCTTTAATAGTTTTATCAGCTGTTTGGATACTGAATTTCTGCTGTCTTCTATCACACACTGCTGCAGTACTATAGATTCATAAAATCATTAGTCTGAAATTATTGGTAACTAATGATAATAATTTTCATGTTTAATCTATATCTAATTTAGATAACATCTTTGAAGTCAGTTCCTATTCTCTTTGCCAATGACTTCATTAGCATTTGATAGTTTATAAATTATATATAAAACTTATTTTCTCATTTCTAATAGGATATAGGAGTCTCTGTCCATATATTTTACTAAAATCTATTGCTAAAATTCAGTTTAAAAAGTTTTTTCAGTAATTTAAGTTTATATGTTTAAATAGCATCATCTCTGTTACTTTTCTATTTTCTCCTTGGATTGTAGTTGTTCGGTTCAATCTCTTATATATTGGTCTTTAATAGTTTGAATGTTTTGCTTGGTTTCTTCAAGAGATGTAGAATATGCCTCCTGTGTTTTCAATATCACCCCTGTACCACTCTGTTGAATTTACTTGGATTTCCCAGACTGGCAATATGTAATATAAAAGTAATAAAATTTCTAATTCTGTGACAGGTTTTTGAATTCCAGTTGACTACAGAGGACATGAAAGTCCTAGATGGCTTGAACAGAAATTTCAGATACAATTCTGCATGTTTGTAAGTACCTTTGATTGATACATTGCTCCAATTTGTTTTCTGAGTAGAAATGCAATGCATTAAAAGTTACCTTGATATGCAGAAGACAAAAGCTAGAGTAAGTTAGGGATGAGTTGCTTTGGGAGTTCTTACTGATTGTCTCCAGAGCTCTTTTCCATTGGTGGAACCAGGATCAGCTTGACTTCCACATATGCCCTATGCATATCTCAATTCACTGAACTTTCTGGATAATACAATGTCTTAGTTAAAACTAGAGCTCTGTTTAGGCTTCTGCCATTTATAGCTATGTCATGGAACTGAATTAAATGTTTCTAAATGTGAGCTTATGATATTTGCTCCCACATATCTCAGGTTTTTTTTCTAACCAGATCAAATACCACAGTCTTAGACTCTCATATCTACTCCATATGGAATTGTTAATTACACCTTGTCAATTTGATGTTTTTAATAGATTCAAGTCTCTCAATTTCTTTTCCTGAACATTTGCTTAGCACTCAAATGCCACCTTTGTATAAAAATCAGTTGTTGTTTGTGAGGAGAATAGAAAGTATTGTTTTACACTTTCAGAAATACAGAGATCTCAATGCAGAGAACAGAGATGTCTTAGATTAGTGAGATAAGAAACAGAAGAAAGATCTTGGAAATATTCCAATTTTGGAAGAAATTTGAAGCCAACAAATGGTTTCTACTTTTCCTTCCTTCTGTAAGATTGTCAGAACTGAGAAAAGACATACCCTGTAAATGAGCATAGGCAGGAATGTGCTCACGGGAATTTAAATTCACAATAAAAATAATGGAATGGTGTATAAAGTGAGAATAGCCCAATTAAAAATTATATGTGCTCAAGAAAATAGCAGATACAGCATTAATAATATTTTTATTAGTATAGAAGAAATTAAGAATAATGCAAAGATAGAGAGAGAGTAGCAAGCAGAGAGGAATTGTAAAGAACGAAAAGAATGATCTTTGTCAATTATATTTCTGTCTCTAGTCACTAAATTACAAAGTATGCTTCCAGAATAAGCAACTGAAAATTCTTAAATTGGGCATGGTGGTACAGAACTATAGCCCCAACACTGGGTGGAGGAGGCAAGAGGGTCAGGAGTTCACAATCATTGTCAGCTATATAGTGAGTTTGAGGCCAGCCTGTGAGACCCTGTCTAAAAAAAATGAAAAAAAATTCCATTTATAAATTTAACATGTTAATTATCTGTGTTAGTCAGGGTTACTATTGATGTGAAGAAACAGCATTATCAAAGCAACTTGGGGAGGAAAGGACTTAATTCACTTACAGTTCCATATAACAGTTCATCATTAAAAGCAATAAAGGTAGGAACTCAAGTAGGGCAGGAACCTGGAGGCAGGAGATAGTACAGAGGCCATGGAGGTGTGCTGCTTATCAGTATGCTCTAGATGGCTCGCTCAACCTGCTTTCTTATAAAACCCAGGTCCATCAGCCCAGGGATGGCACCACCCAAAATGGACTGTGGCCTCCCACATCAATCACCAAGAAAATGCTCTATTGGCTTGCAGGTAGCTGGATCTTATGGGGACATTTTTTCAATTGAAGCTCTCTCCCATCAATGACTCTAGCTTGTGTCAAGTGCTAGTGCTAGTGCACTTTATAGTGCAATATGCAAACACTGTGTTTGATTAGTAAAAAGAAAGTGAACTTGTTAGCAGGGAATAGTACACCTTGAAATTGCCTTTAGTACTGATAAACATTTGAACTTATTCTTTAAACAAGGAAGAATCAGTTTCTTATATTAGGCATTCCTTTTTCTAATTGTAGTTTTGATGGACATCCTAATCATCCATTTATTGATGAATATTAACATGGAGGCTTGTCAGAGTTCCTACCACAAGATCTGTTTATGCATCATGGTATGAGAGATGTCTTGGATACTGGCGGTTGAACACATCACTTCTTATGAAATCACCTTGTCTCGTCAATTCACAGTCAGATTTACATTCCCAGAGTTGTGTGGAAAGTCTGTAAGACAACATCAAGATTTTTAGTTCAAAGATCCTTGTGTTTTGAAAGACTGATTTATTTTACATATATGAGTGTCTTGCCTATGTATGTGTACCTAGTGAATGACCGTGTCCATGGAGGGGAGAAGAGGGTGACATATCACCTGGAACTGGAGTTACAGATGATTGTGAGTCACCATTTGGATACTGGGAGCCAAATTTGAGTCTTCTGTAAAAGCAGCAAGCCTTTAAACATTTTGCCATTTCTCCAGGCCCTACCCTAAAGATTCTTGCCTGCCTGTATTTCTGTGACTTCAATGTTCTCTTTTCTTCTGACTCTTGACACCAACCCAACTCACCTAGAACTCTTGGGCAGGAGGCAGGAGATGAGGACAGTCATTTAAGAGACTTTTTTTTGGGTAACAGTTGGAAGAATTTTCAACATTTATGGACATATCAGTGAGAGATAATTGATAATCCTCAAATCTGTTGAGAAAGAAGAAAGTACTTTGCAGTTAGTTATTCCACTCTTAGTTTGGAGGTGAGGCACATGTGGCAGGGGTGACTAAGAGTCCCAGGGACCCCCTTCATTAGCTCAAGGACCAGAGCGCCAAGAGTAAGTTCTCCCTGTGGGAAGGCTGGGAGGTTGGTAAGAAGAGAATCATCTAAAAGAATCATCGTGACTCAGACGTGGGGAGACTGAGGAGAAAGCTGAACAAGTCTCTGCTTGGGAAATATATCTTTTATATTTTTTGATAGGTACATGTTACAGGTAAAAGGAAATTCTACATATTTTATCAAAGACAGAGAGCCACACTTGATATTTGTATTTTCAAAGGTTTCAGCAGTTGCCTTACTGAGCTATGGTAGGAAAAATTAATTCACATGAATGTAAATCCCATATTTGTCAAATTTTATTGGTTTAAAAATTGATTTGTGAAACTTGATCTTATATGTCTACAGATAAGGAAGTTAGACTTATAAAGTATCTCCAATAAATTAAATTGTGTTATAAAATTAATATTCAAAGGACATAGAATTGATGAGATAAATTGTTTAAATTTTCAAAAATTATTTGAAATACTGTATTTGAAATAGGACAGTGTTGTAGAAATTGATAAATTTTATCAGTATCTTTTGCACAAAGACTATCTTAGAAAATCAGAGAGGAAAGGTTATAGTGTTGTGCTTACAGAAGATCCAGAAGAATGCAGATGCAAATTAAAAAAATATTATTTACCAAGTTTCAAGGATACAGTTGGATTTGTATATTTCATGAATGAATATCCCAAATAAGAATTTTTTTCAGACAGCTTCTCACTATATACCCCTGGCTAGTCTGGAATTTGCTGTGTACACAAGGCTGACCTGGAACTCATAGAGCTATACCCATCCTTGACTACTTCTAGAATGCTGAGATTAAAGGCATGCCACTATAGTTATATATTTGAAGTCTCTTAAACAAAAGGGAAACATTATCCAAAAGCAATAAAATTACTAGTTACCTTTTAATAAACCTAATGAAATATGAATGAATAACAAACTAAAATTCTATGAAATGTGCTGATACAATGAAACTGTCATATTCTTATTAATGAATGGAATAAAATTATGTTATAATAGGTAATGTGAAATTTCTTTAAATGAATTAAACAACAAATAAAAACTAGGCATTTCATGACTCTATCACAGCCAGGGTCTGCATTGATGTCTGTGGCTCCTGATACCATAGAAGGCCATACTGATGTCAGGGGTCCAGGCTGTCACCTGGAGCCATGGTGACATCAGAGTCCCAGCTGTTGCTAGGGATCATGTCTAAGTCCTTGGTCCTACCACAGCCAGGGACTGTGTTGATGTCCATGGCCCATGGTACCACCAAAGTCCACACAGATGCCCAGAGGTTGGGCTGCAACCTGTGGCCATATTGGTGTTTGAGGGCTGTGTTACCACCAGACCCATGCAGATCTGGGTGGGGCATGGCGTCTTCTGGGGCCCAGACTTCTGTCAAAGGTCATATCTGGTTTTGTGGTCCAGCAGCAATCAGGGTATGGGATGATGTCTGTGGCTCCTGCTGTCATGAGGGACTGTGCAGATGACCTGGGTCTGGACAGCCACTAGAGACCATGTTTGAGTCTGAGGGCCTTGATGTCACTGGGGCCATACTGATTAAGATGGCCTGTGCTGACACTGGGGCCATGATGTTATCCAGACTCAAGCTGCCGCCAAGCTCCATGTCTGGGTCTGTGGTCCTGTTGCAACTGGTGTCTGTGATGATGTCCATGACCTGTGTTATCACGTGAGTGGGGGGTGGAGGTCATAAGAACCTTGTATGTTGAATCCTGACAGATGTGCTGAGTTGGCCCCACCCCTCACTGGCCCTGGGATAGCTGGTCATGCCCGTAGGTGTATACTGCAATACGAGAGCTGGTTCCACCCACCATGGAAGAGCTGGCCCCTATACTTGGGAAAAATAGCCAGGGACCCAGACCAATCAGCTGAGCTACCACAAAGACCCACGTCCTGGGCCTTGGGTTGTCCCACCCTAACATCTACCCTATCTATGACCTTTTGGAGTTCCTGAAGGGTCTCATCCTGAGGGACAATAACTGCAAGACCTTCATGACTAGGGGCAATCACAGGATCTGTGAGAGGAGTTTGGTGAGGGTCCAGTAATGATGGTGTGCCAGAGGCCTGGAACCAGACTAATGACTCATTGCAGCGAGTTTTGCAGGTGGAGTTGATTGGACAAAAGAGTATACTTGGTGGCACACTGAAGGTCCCAATGTCACTAAGATGAATAAAGAGGTATTGGAAAGACAGAGGAGCATGGTGGGTTCTTTGTTGTTTGTTTTGTTTTTAATTATTTTTGGGGGGTGTTGTAGGGGACAGTAAGCCACACCTGTTAGAGGCTGGCTACAGGTGTGCCTTACCACGCCAGTCAAGGCCTGGTCAAGGTGAGATCAGGATAACACGGCATGGGCTCTTAAGGGGCAGAAGCGCGCATGGAAGCCCCTTCTCCTGTCCCTTCTCTCTGGCCTCACTCTGGCTTGTGTTTGGCTGGTATTTATCTCAATAAAGATATCTCGACCTTATGGATCATGGATTGTCTCTTGGGTCATGCAATAAGTGGCGCCCAGAAATCCACGGCCCATTCCAGCTTCTCGAAGCTCCCTACGAGTCTGCTGGGCACAGCCCAGAAGCTGTGTGACACAGGCACAAGGGACCTAGGAGACTGCTGACCTGCCTGCCCGCCCATTCAAGAAGACTTAAAACAGTGAGTTAACCCTTCCCAACCTGTAGCCCATCTCCCCTGGCCCGCACTCAGTTCCCGCCTGCCATCCACCCGGTTGGGAGAGTTTAAATCTTTCACAGGCCTCTCTGCAGGTTTTACTGCTCCAGGCAGCAATTTGCGCTGCAGCTGCGCCTTCATTAACCGCTAGCCACGTGCATGTGCCAGCGGCCCTGAGCTGCGACCAACACAGGCTTGCCTTTTCTGTGCCTGCCATTATAGTTTCTGTGGCCTGTACACACCTGCGGCCCAGAATCAAGAGCCACAGCCTGTCCAGCTACATCTGCCAAGCTTGGTCTCCACCGTTCGAAGGTTTTCCCATACCTAGTAAAAACACATCCCCAATCCGTTCTTAACAGGCTCTATAACAATTTTTCAGGAAATTTCAGATCCTACTCAAAACAACCACCTGCGCCACCTTCTGGTCAAAGTGGTTACTGCTTGTAAATATGGCCAAATTTCTATCATTCTCAATTGGTAACATTTTCACTTCTTATGTAAATTCAATTTTCAAGGAAGAGGTCTATCTGCCGAATAAATTGGCCTATATGCTTTATTAGCTGTTCGTGTGTTAATACATGTATTATCACTAGCCAGAGGCCTCAGGAACAGGGATAAAACTAATTTCACCACCTGCCTACACGACATGCAATCTTTATGTAATGAGGTTTTGGAGGCCAAACTGACCCATGATATGTTTATGCAGCATGTAGAACAGAAGCTAGATGATAGGCTTTGCTCTATGTTTTATACGATATGGGCAGAGCTGTCTACTCCCTAAGTTGAAATGCAGGGCATTTATGATAAGAATAATGCAGAGAGATGCTCCATTTCAGAGGCGTTAGAGGCTAGGCGGTCAGAGGACTGTGATGGACTAAAGAATATATGTAACCAACTGGAAACTCAGATAGACTCTCTGTCCTGTAGTTTGGATACTAAGATGCAAGATACCCAGGATAGGTTTAAACAATTGGATAATGCCATTAAATCAATGGCTGAGAAATATGAGAGGGCGATAATAGAGTTGAATCTAAGTTTGAAAGTTTGCAAGATGAATTATAGAACAGAGCTGACAAACTAGAAAGGTCCATCAAGTTGATTGGTGAGGCAAATCATGACCTTGGTTCTAAATTTCAATTCCTGGACGGCAGTCTCCATGCCACCCAGATGCTAGCTAGGGACAAACGTATTAAACACCTAGAAAACCATATAGAACAGCAATCACAGCAATTCACAGATTTCCTATCATGCGTTGAATCTTTCATGATTAATGAGATTGAAAGTTTCCATGAAGATATCGTTGCTAGGCTCAAGGATGGTTTTGAGGATGAGGAGACAGAATCACTCCACTCTGAGGCACCTACTCCACACAGGTATTTCAATCATTCTAAAGTCATTACATGTACACCGTTGGTCTACCCAGCAACACTGCTAGAAAAGCCACCAACTAAAAAACACTCCAAGGGACAGGTGGCTTATATGTGGACAGCCTATACAGTTGAAGGATCTTAAGCATATTAAGGAATCAGTTGTCTCATATTGTCTTCATAGCCCATATGTACAATAGCCATTACATTCATGGGCCACCTTTAACAGGGTGACACCCGAAGATTGGGTAGGACTGGTGTCAGCTGTACTTGAGAATTCTTGTCAAATCGAATGGAAGGCATTAATCAGGGAAGAAAAAGCTTCTTGAACATCAAGCCATTAGGGACAGTCATGATGCGCCTCTTAAAAAAATCCTGGGAGAAGGTATTTATGCTGACTCACAGGTTCAGGCTGAATATGATGACCATATGCTGTCCCTATGTAGGAAAGCAGCACTAAATGCATGGGGAACGACTGGAAGCTTATACCAGAATAGAACAGGGACCAACAGAACTATTCGAGGACTTCGTAGACCAGTTGACCAAAGCAGTAGACTTACAAGTAACAGATCCAGTGATAAGACATTCGATTGTGTATACAATAGCTTATGACAATGCAAACCCAATATGCAAAAGAATACTTTTGCCTTTAAAGATCAGATCAGCTCCACTAGAAGAATGGGTTTTGCATACTGCCCACATTGACTATAATGTGTGAAATGCTGGAATCTGGGCAGGAGAAGTTATCCCAAGAGGTTTCAAAAAGCAGCAGGAGATTAAGAGTTCCAGAGATGATGACAGAAGGGCTTGGGAAGGAGAAACACCTTACAGGGATTGATATAGGTGCCAAGAGGCCAGGGTTCATCGCTACTATGAAGCAGAGCCTTGGGTAGGAAGAGCCAACTCCAAGAGTTTATGTATGTTAGACCTCAGTTTGATTATTTCTTGCTACCTTCTTTTGGGTATGCTTACTTCTTTTTGTTCTAGAGCTATCAGGGGTGTTGTTTAGATGCTAGTATGAGGTTTCTTCAATTTTATTTTATGGCTTTTAGCACTGATTTTATTGTGTCCCATAAGGTTGAGTATGTTGTGTATTCATTTCCATTGAATTTTAGATTCTTTAAAATTCTTTATTACTGTCTTGACCCATTTATTCATTCAGTAGAGAGTTGTTCAGTTTCCATGAGTTAGTAAACTTTTTGTTGTTGTTGTTGTTTATAGTCTGATAGGATGTTGGGGGTTTGTAACACAAATAATAAAAACCCAGAGACAGATGTTGAGGTTCAAACTGAAGATCAGAAAAGCAAAGCAGCCAAGCTAATAACTCTTACCTCTACCTCAGACCAAAATGGGTGAGCCTGTCTCCATGAATTCTCAGAGTGCAATGCAAGCTGTCTGCTCTCCACCAAGCCTCAGACTGCAATCCCCTGAGTTTTAGTCTCCTTTTGTCTTATATTCCTCTCTCTGCCACCCACATAACTCCTGTCTCCACTTCTCTAGTGCTGGGATTAAAAGTTGTATCTTGTGTTTGGGGCATAGATGTTATGAATTGAAATGTCATCTTGGTGAATTTTACCTTTGATTTGTATGTAATGTCTTATCCCTATCTCTCCTGATTAGTTTTAGTGTGAAATCTATTTTGTTAGATATTAAGATGATTGATTATACCCGCTTGCTTGGTATAGGTCCAATGAAAGACCCCTACTCAAGCCTAGCCTGATACCCACCAGCATGTGTTTGAAAATCACTCTGACCATACACACAGCTCTGGGGAAAAGAACACATGAAATGGTCAGTCATGATGACTAGTCTCTGGAAATTGTTATTATTACTAGTTTCCAAGGAATGTTGTTATCTTCAACAACTGTCTGGTTTCTAAAAATTGTTATGGGTTACCCTGCT